TCGAAACCTTATAATTTTAATACAATAATAATTGTCCAGAACATTTATTTGGTTTGAGTAAAATATTATGATGTAGTGGTCAAATTCGTAGGTATATATTGATATTAGGATTTATTTGCAAAATTAATACTTTTCTAATATAGGTAGTAGGTATTTATAAAAATTTCCATAAACTAAAAATCAGCTATTTCCATATTAAATTATTACCTTTATATTTTTATAATTTGAATATTTAACTCTTTAGTTGTTCTAAAAAATGCAAAATTTGACTTCTCGTCTCAACCCACAAGTCCCACAACGCATTTTTTAATGGACTGAAACAAAATCTTTTTTTTGCAAACAATTGAACAATTGAATTATTTGTCCAATATGAAATGGAAGAAACTAATTCTCCAACATTGGTACTATCTAAAAAATTAAGTTTAAAACCTTGATAGAAAATCAATAAAAAACTACCATATTATATGCTATATTGAACCCACATTGCAAAAAAATAGTAAATTATATTGGATTAATATTAGAAAAATAGGCGCTGCCAATATGAACATTAAAAAAATATGTTGGGCTGATATTGTTCATATGTTTTAAATCAATATTTTTTTGATATCAGACTGAATTCTGTTGCCAATATAGGCTACTGCTATTTTGTCATCATTAAGAGAACATAGCTCTCTAACATTGGCAATATCAACAAAACATAGTTTAAACCTAAATAGAAAATCAATAAAAATCCAATAAATTACCATCATTTGCCATATTGCTCCCACATTGGAACAAAAATGATAAATTATATTGGATTAATATAGAAAAAATAGGCGTTGCCGATATTAACATTAGAAAAATATGTTGGACTGTTATTAATCCTATGTTTAGAATCAATATTTTTTTAATATAATATTAAATTCTTTAGCCTACTCCAATATTTACATTATAGATAGAACATAGCTCTCCAACATTGGCACTATGTACTAAACAAAGATTAAACCTACATAGAAAATACAATAAACTACCAATATTTGCTATATTTCATCCACATTGGTACAAAAGTGATACTGTATATTGGATTAATATTGAAAAAATAGGCATTGCCACTATGAACTTTAGAAAAATATGTTGGGCTGATATTAATCATATGTTTTGAACAAATATTTTTTTGATATAAAATTGAATTCTGTTACCAATATGGGCAACTGCTATTTTTTTATCATTTAGAGAACATAATTCTTCAAGATTGGCCCTATCTATAAAACAAATATTAAACCTAAATAGAAAATCATTAAAAATCTAATAAACTGCCGTTATTTACTATATCTCACCCACATTGGAACAAAAATGATAAATTATATTGGATCAATATTGTGAAAATAGGTGTTGCCAATATAAACGTTAGAACCATATGTTGGACTAATATAAGGGCAATATTATAAAGCAATATCTTTTAGTCATAACATAAAGTTCTTTTGCCAATATTGGCTGCAGGTCATTAATATTGGTCCAAGTTTCAAATATGGAACCAACATTTTGCCAAGCCACAGCCAAGATTCATTGCTACCTGGGTAGTTACTTATTTTGTCAAATAACTCACAAATAAGCCACTGCTATTAATAGATGTTGTTCTTTGAAAAATTAATAAATCTGTCAAACGCAGGTACAAAATTAATTATCGTCTACTTTGAAATCAATCTTAATAATGACCGATAATAAGGTGGATCCAGTGAAAGCGACCGTAATTTTTGAAGAATTGGTAATAAATCATTTATATTCATTCAGTCCCTTCCTGTGAAATTAAATATTTATAGAATTTTTTAGAAAGGTGCCATTTGTGTAAAGAGTACGGTTATATGGTAGATACTCTAGATATCTACTTATTTATAATTTTCATAGAGATATTTGATTATCAGAAAAATAATAGGACGTGCTTAATTTTTTAAAACTGAAATAGCTCAGTTACCATTAAATTTTTTGTTAATTTTTGAAAAGTTTCTCTAAAACTTCTTTTAGGGCTTTACAGTTTTGACCTATATATTATTTTCGAATTTTAAGTCAAGTGCAGTTTTGTAGTACAAAGTAAATAGAGCATATAAACTAACTTTAGGTCTTACCTAATGAAATATATCCTATATTAATTTAGTCCTAATTCACCTTTTAAATCAATTATTATTACAATTTTACCTAAATATAACCTATACCTATATATAAACTCTATTAAAATAAAAAATGTGAGTTTACAATCTGTAAAATTAGTGAATTAATGTAAGGGATGATTTCTAGTGAATTGTTAAACTTGGGGTTAATTTGAGTTCACCCTGTAAAATACTTTTTTAAAAATATAGTATATACATGACATTTTTTGAAAGTTTAATTTCATTAAATAACTTAGATATAAAAATTTTATTTCATCAAATAATAGCTGGCGATACTTTGTGACACCCGGTATACTTAGTAACTTGTACCTACTATAATATTTATTACCTACCTAATACTGGTTTCAAACGATAATCCTAATTGATTTTTTTTTTATTCTTCTCATCCATAATAATCCCTTTATCGCAAGTTATACAGCTGACATTAAAAAATCCATAATAAAATCTACAAAACAAACTGTTGAGCAAATTAAAAGTAAATGAGTAAAAAAAAACAATTTAAAATACATGTCACTCTATTCGTCGTCGTCGTCGTCGTCGTCGTCGTCGTCGTGTTAATGGCTTATCAGTATCTAAAAACTTCCTTTTGAATCTAAAGAAAATCTGATTAAAAATGGAATGTTAAAGGAAGGTCTATTCAACTGTGAAGAGTATAACAATATAGAATGCCAAGCATTATACAGTGCTTTTCAGATAAAAGTATCCGCCTTAAGTAACTTTTGAAGGACTGATTATTACAAAAAAAAAAAATACGTCAATTAATATTCGAAGGGGGAGATATCGTGCCATATTTAAGTTTGCTGAAAAAGTCACCCTTTCACCCCTACTATCATCCCTTCAATTTTTTTAAATGGCTTCCCCCATTTTTTTTATCCATTTTTGGATTGTTCTCGTTTAACTGATTTCAAAAATGTATAAAACATGGGGTTTAAAATAATTAGTTTATGATCTACAGGGTTCCATTATTTGAGTGACAAATTTTTACATCTCACCTTACTGACTGCAGCAAAATTGGATTTAGAATACATTATACCTTAATCGTACCGCTAAAAACTTGTTGAAGTTTTTTATGATACATGGTAAAGGTATTGGAGATTTGAAAAATGAATTTAAATTTCTTTTATAGTGTATTTTGATACATGTGCATATTGATTTGTTGAGGTTATTTATTTGATTTGAAAATGGTTTACAGTTTACAAGAAAGAATTGAACTTGTAGGTTTATACTACAAAAATAACAGTTCTGCAGGAGCTGCTGCTAGAATTTTCAACGAAACACACCAAGGAGGTCATGCAACTCATAAGTATGTAATTGATCTTATGCATAAATTTACATCAACCGGGTCAGTTGGCAATAAAAAAACATAACCGACTGGAACTCGTAAATAACGAAGCAATTGAAGCCGCAGTTTTAGGACAAGTAAGTATTGAAAATCAACAAGCACAGTCACTGACAACAATAAGCAGAGAAGTAGGTGTTTCATCTTCCACAGTTTATCGAATATTACACAAGCATAAGTACCATCCATACAAAATTAAATTGGTTCAAGAGTTGTATGAAGATAATTTTGATCGTCATCTTGAATTTTGTGAACTATTGAGTCAGCGCTTGACTGACAATCCACATTTGTTGCACAACCTTTGTTTTTCGGATGAATGCACATTTTCAGTTAATGGTTTAGTTAATAGACGTAATTGCAGATATTGGGCTGAGAGTGATCCACATGTTGTGCGTGAATACCACACACAGAATCCTCAAAAGTTAAATGTATGGTGTGGTATCCTAGGTGACCACATAGTCGGACCTTTCTTTTTAGACGGAAACTTAAATGGAGAGTCATATCTTGAGTTATTGAGAGAAGTAATTGATCCACGTATTACAACAATAATAGAAAATGATCATAATCTTTCTGAAGATTTGCTTGTCTTTCAACAGGATGGAGCGCCTCCATATTTTGCTTTGCCAGTACGACAATTTTTAAATGAAACTTTCCTCAATCGTTGGATAGGTAGAAGAGGCTCGATGATGGAGTGACCACCTAGATCACCGGATTTATCACCTCTAGACTTCTTTTTATGGGGTTATTTAAAAACAAAAATTTATGCTACCCAACCAGAATCTTTAGAAGATTTACGACAAAGAATAGAGTATGAATGCCTACATTTAAATGCACACGTGTTCGGTAATGTCAGGGAGGCTTTTCAATCTAGGTTATACCATTGTATGGAAGTAAATGGTGGACATTTTGAACAATTTTTATAATAAATTTTGAAAATGAAATATTCGTTTTGTCATTGGAAACGCTTGTGACAAAATCATTAAAATAAAAGTTTTGCACAATTCAATTTTATTTTAATTTAAAATTCTGTAGATCGTAAACTAATTACTTTAATCCCCATGTTTTATACATTTTTGAAATCAGTTAAACGAGAGCAATCCAAAAATGAACAAAAAAATGGGGCAAGCCATTTAAAAAAATTGAAGGGATGATAGTAGGGGTGAAAGGGTGACTTTTTTTAGCAAACTTAAATATGGCACGATATCTCCCCCTTCGAATATTAATTGACGTATTTTTTTGTTTTTTGTAATAATCAGTCCTTCAAAAGTTACTTAAGGTGGATACTTTTATCTGAAAAGCACTGTATATGTTTATTCTAGTTATATTGTTACTTTCGGTTATCCTCTTGTTTAAATTCTAAATTTAATAACCATCCTTTCAACAGAAATCTAATTGACTCCATTTCAGAAATAATTATAACGATATTAAATAACACTCCTCTGTTTTTCAGCATGGCAAGGATTTTTATAAAAGCTTTTTATCTTTAAAATTAATTTAAACCGCAATTAATCAAACTCAGATTATATTATTAAGTGGCACATTAAAATCATTAAAAAAAAAAGAACCTGTATACGTCCTCTGGCTATATAAACTCTTCCTTTACCAAAATTCTTCTAGTCATTAAGTACGTGTCTGTATCATTGAAGAGTTCTGTTATATAATAAGATTTTGATTGATTCATTATTGACAGTATAAAGTGAAAATGCCTCTAAGTATGGAACGTTGGGTTGGAAAAGTTGCTATTGTGACAGGGGCAAGCGTTGGAATTGGGGCTGCAATTGCAACAAGATTGGTAAAAGAGGGATTATTGGTAAGTATCAATTAAAAAATATAAGCAAAGAAGAGAATCCAACCTCTCCAATGTGGTCATCTAAATAAAACCTTTAAAAAATAAATAAAAATATTAATTAACTTAGATCTTCGTTTTGCAGTTTTAGAATTTTCTCAGAAAATAGTAAAAGCTATAACAAAATTTTCAAATAATAATTATAAACTGTTAGATTTCTAAAATTTATAATAAAAAATTGTTATGATATTTGTATATACAGGGTGGGCCACCGGTAACGCCTAGGTCTGTAGAGCCAAAACTATTTGATTATTTATTGAATCTGTTTTCACAGTGAAATGTATATCAGAAAAAGCAACAATTAAAAATAATTTTAATTATACAGGGTTCTCCAAGAAATTGATACATATCGAAGTTATGGTTTTATTTTAATAGGATTTTATTTTATATTTAAATTGCCCTCGCTTTTCCCTTAACCAATTTGATATGAAAATGATATTGATTTCAATGACCTGTGTACTGCAAAAGAAACAATTGAAAACTATTTTTTTGCGGTAAAATGTTTTCGATGTTTGTCAACATGTTATGTCTATGCAGTACTTTTTTTCAATTCAAAACAAATCTGTAAAGGGTGAGTCAAAACTCAAATACATAATTTTCTTATTGTTTTTTAATTGATCATAATAAATTTTATATTACCTTATAAAAGAAATAAAAATTTAATTTGACTCATGCATTTTCTATACCTAATTTTGGGAGATTTTTAATTAAACGAAAAAAATTGATAATTCACAAAAATACTTTAATTTTAACTGGTTACTGATTAATAAAAATGAAATTTAACCAGATATAATTTATTATTGACTGAAAAAGTTTTTGACAATATCTAATGCGACTTTTATATCCAGTAAAAAAATAAATAAAACTATCAATTAAAAACTTCACATAATACCTTCTTTATTTTAAATTTATTAAATGTGTTATTTTGACAGATTTTGTTTAATTAAAAAAGTTTCTCTAAGTAGTCTCCAATAATATTTATGAAGTTCTAAAGGTGGTTTTCAAAGGTCCAACGCACATTTCTAAACATTTCTTGAGTTAAATTCCAAATTCTCTCCTTATTCACAACTAAATGAAATATTAAAAAAACTGATAGGCTTTTTAAAAACAAATATTAGTAATAACCATTGAGATATAATAAAGAGGATCTATGACAATGCTAAATTGTCCCCACCTTTGCATTACATTTTTACGTCAATATCAAACTAGTGATAGTGTAGCTAGTCAGTTTTGGTGAGAATAAATGCCATTTTTCTTTAAATAATAATAATAATAATAATAATATAACTTTATTCATGTAGGTATACAAATACAATATAATATAAATAATTTTAGAAACAATTAAACATTATTTACAAGAATAAAGTAAGAAGCAATAAGTACGTGAGTACTTGTTTCGCTGTACACAATATACACTATTATCTAATTATCCTAAATACATAAATTAATTATTCTAATTACGGTAAAAAAATAAAATAAAATATATATATATATAATTATATTTATTTAATAATAGAAGAAAATAGATAATGTTAATGTTATATCCAAGTAAGTATGTCTAATCTGTAAAATAAATGATATAAAATTATTTTCATACCATCAGTCTTCAAATATAATATTATTGACTTCAAATAAATCAAAGTACGACTCAAGTCGCCATTTTCATTACACTTTTCCGTCACTTGAAGTGCGTCCAGTTCTCATATCGTAAAATAGTGTTTATGTCGTTTTTACTTTATTCTGTAATAGCTCGGCGTTATTTTGCAATAAAATGTTAATTTCAAAACACTTTTAAGAAATTCGTCAGTCATTTTGTTTGACTAAAATATACTCCCCCCATCCTACGGATCCCCCACCTAGAGGAATTTCCCTCTCTAAGCATATTGCTAGCGCCGATAATGAAATGGTAAATCAATCTGATACTAAATTATACAGGATGTCACACAATTAAAATATCATTTTTAAATGGAATTTTAAAATGTTATAATTCGATATCGATGGTAATAACGAACTGTCAATATTGGAGTTTCAAAGTCAAGTTAAAAATATAATAAACTTGGCTCTACTATGGATGTAGAAGAGAGGGGAGTCGCTACTCATGCCCTGAAGCGGTATCACCTACACCATATCGCTACATTCCTAATGTCATTTGTTATTTTTATTTTGCAGTATTTATTTTATATAGACTAGTGCATTCGGTACTTTCATATGGCTTGATTTTCTGGGGAAATTCGACCCATATGAATAAAGTCTTTCTATTGCAAAAAATAATTATTAGATGCATGATAGAAGCCTATCCTTGTCAGCAACATTTTATCAAGTTATAGTCCAAGAGCCCGTGAGAGCCAGGCCTTCGGAATTTTATAAAAGCTGAGAGTTCTTCTGTGTATGTCCCCAATAGAGGTAAGAATGATCCCCGCCCATGAAACCTGAGTAGTGGTGGCTTTGGCAGGTAACAGGTAACAAAGGTGCATAAAATTCCACCTCAAATTTATTAATTTATAAAACTCAATTTTTTTATATTTTATTCGTAATAATATTAAAACTCGCGTTGCTCATTGCCAGACACTTGATATGGTTACAACCCTCTGCCAGACACACCTAAACTATTATAATTTGTAACTATACTTACGTTATATTATAAAAGCTAAATTTTATATATTATTTGGACAACTATTAAATAATGTTTCCTTAATAGCCAGACAATTTCGAGGGTTATATCGTCCTGCCAGACGTATTAAATGTGTACAATAGTTATGAGTGAGAGGAACATATGCAGCAACGGGTGTGAGTGAAATAGAGCGTGCAGTCTATTGCGCTAGTTCAGTGTGATGTCATTTTGGTTCCACTGACATTTAATTCTAACCAAACTTTTAACAAAAACATCAATAAATTTGACATATACGTTTTTACTGTTTTTATTTTATTTCAAAATATTGTTTAAAGGTCATAAAAAATAGTTTAAAGGTATGTAATTGGTAACTAAACGATTGTATATTTGATACATGCTATCTACTTACTTTAGGAATATATTTATAAAATTGAAAAAACGATATAATTTAGGTAAACAAAACGAACAAAACGCACTCAAAAAATCTACTGTCACTTTAATTGTCAGTGGAACCATAATTACATCATGACTGAACTAGCGCATCGCGATCTTTTATTGCGCATCAGCTGCTCATTGTGTATTATGTAGTGCGCGGTTATGCTCATAGTAAACGTACATCAAACGTATATTAAACGTTGTATTATTTTTCTGTGTAATTTCTAACTCACAAAAAAATTATTCTTTCGTATAATAAACAATAAAATTTTGATGACTGAAATTTCAGTTGAATTGAATATAATAAACTTTATAAAATTTAAAAATAACATGAATTGAGTTACTAGAATTTATGATATGATTGATATTTTATTATAAAATTTTACGGAATATTATTTTAAAAATTTATTATTCAAACTGTAATAATTTTATTCAATGAAATTTCTCAAAAAATTAGAAAAAATATTACTAAATATATCGGAATAAACAACAGTAGATGCGCAGTAAAAGATCGCAATAGACTGCACGCTCTATTTCACTCACACCCGTTGCTGCATATGCTCCTCTCACTCATAACTATTGTACACATTTAATACGTCTGGCAGGACGATATAACCCTCGAAATTGTCTGGCTATTAAGGAAACATTATTTAATAGTTGTCTAAATAATATATATAAAATTTAGCTTTTATAATATAACGTAAGTATAGTTACAAATTATAATAGTTCAGGGGTGTCTGGCAGAGGGTTGTAACCATATCAAGTGTCTGGCAATGAGCAACGCGAGTTTTAATATTATTACGAATAAAATATAAAAAAATTGAGTTTTATAAATTAATAAATTTGAGGTGGAATTTTATGCACCTTTGCTACCTGTTACCTGCCAAAGCCACCACTACTCAGGTTTCATGGGCGGGGATCATTCTTACCTCTATTGGGGACATACACAGAAGAACTCTCAGCTTTTATAAAATTCCGAAGGTCTGGCTCTCACGGGCTCTTGCTCTATTAACTCTTCCATGCTTGTTTAGTTATCTATCAGTGTTATATATTAAAAAAACTAATAATATGATACACCCCTACCCTACTCGAAGAGGTGGCGAACTTCGTACACCCATCTCAAGATTAACAGTTGGTCAAAACTCTTCGTTTTATCAAGGAACCATCTTGTTTAACCATTCTGTTAGAATTTTAGGCAATATAGAAAACTTTAAAAAATTCAAATTTATGCTGTTTTAGTTTCTTGCAGGTAAGGCCTTTTACTCTGTTGATGAACTTTTAGCATATTAATTTTATCACTTAAAATTTATTATACCTAATGTTTATTTTAACTGTCTTTTGTGTTAGTTTTCTATATATATAATATATTATCTATATTATCTATATTATTTATATTATCTATATTATCTATATATTCAATTATCTTAGTTCTAGAATTTTAAACTTGTATGAATTGGACACTGTGAATGGTGTTTTTGTTTTTTCTGTTTTTTGTATGGACGTACTGTGTATAAGCTGACTAGTATGATAAGTTTTTTTTTGTAAAAATGTAAAAAAAATACTTTATTGACGAATACATTCTATTCTATTCTATAGTTTTAGTTAAAAGATCTTGAGGACATAATGTTACTCTTATCTTTAATTTCATGAGATTGTACATGCCTAGATCCTGTAGAAATTATAAGGAATAACCTTGGAGGTATGGGAATAACATATTATAGGTTACTGAAAAAAAAAATATCTAAACAGTAATTTAGAAATATCCAAAGAATAAATAGATACCGTTTTTACATAGAGATTATTGTAGAAGCACCCCGTGCTACCTAACAGAAATAAGAAAAAGGCACTTTTGCTTATTTCTGTTAGGTAACATGATCAACGAAATAAATTTTATTTGGCTCATTCATTTCGGGAAAATACGTCGTTGTATAAAGAATTGTAACCCTTTCAAAAGGAGATGCCACTTGACTCACTTGCTTTATCCAAATAATAGCGAAACAAATTCCCTTCATATGGTTTAATAATTATTAAAAAAAAAAAAACTGACTTCTTTCAAAACAAAATCGATGTGTCCGATCAAAAAGTCAAAATCGACCGTAGTAAGAAATCTTAAAAACAAGGTGCAATTCTGTCCATATTCGCTACCTAAATCAGAGGTATAAAAATTACCTACTAGCAAAAAAAATTGACGGATTTGAGCGTTTTTCAACATCTACATCCATGTCGTAACGCCCAGATATCCTGTTTTTCTAATAAGGTGGAGTTGATCTGATTTTGTCGCTGTCCTTCATCCTCAAACACCTGATAGCCATTATTAAAGTTTAATATGGAATCCGTTAGGCTAGAAGGTATGTCTGAGCAATCTACAGTTATGCCGATGAGGTGGTCACTAAGAATCTTGATTCTGTTTGATTCAGGGTGGTTATTGTTGTTGCTTAATGCTGTCTGCGTTATATTAACTACGAATGGTGCGGGGAAAGATCCAAATTTAAAGCTACTTGATCCACTCGTTACTTGGTCTTTCTACATACTTTTGAGTCCTAGTGCAAAATTTTTTGATTTCATACCTGAATCATCCTTTTTCTGAAGCGCCATCGAGGCTTTCGCCCCGAAAACAAAAGCCAGGGTCTTTGCAATTGTTCCTTGTGGTAGTTCTAGTCGTCTAAGTGATCTTCGTTGGGTTGTTCACCTCCATGACATATCTTGATTGAAAGCGTGTTCTTCGCACTTTCTATATTACTTTGGGTATTGCTTTGGGTCTCCTTCACCTGTCCGTCTTTGCTGCCCTTATCGATGTCGACATAAACTAGGCGAGTTTGTAAGTTCTCCATACTTTTTTCAGGCTTTGGGTCTTCATCAGTAAGTATACTCTCCATAATTTCACCGGTGTTCATATTCTTCATACTGTTTTCGCTTGGAGCATTGTGCATACTTTATTTTCCGAGTTCATACTTTATTTTCCGAGTTCACCGGCGGCCTCATCGTTGGTGCCTTCATCCATACTTACACCCTTCTTCGCTGTTTACCGAGCTATAGTACTGCTTCACGAGATCTTCGTCTTTCTCTTTACTTTCGAGATTCTCTGTTATCGGCTGTACCGTAATTTTTTGGTGGTTTATTGTTTTTTTTTTTTCGAGGGGTCCCAGATTTAAGCTCTTTGTTGTGGACTCACTCAGGCTTTTGAATCTTGTAGTCTTGAGGATCTTGAAGAATTCTGATTGCATATTAGCTTGAGTTCGCGCGCGTTCTTTTAGTCTTTTTGAATATATTGTCTCAATTGTTTTTACGTCAGCCCCCAGGGGCTGGGGCATAAATTATGTGGCTTACTACCTGTCTCATTTACCCGGTGTTTAGTTCAACTTGAACACAATACAAAAATCACGTTTGTGTGCTTTATGTAGACACCCATGCTTCCTGTTTCCGTCATTAATAATTAAGATGTCTTACTTCACATTATTGGGGACACAATTATGATGGAATTTCTCTGCGAGATGTAAAATATGTTCTTTTATAGTGGACATTGATGTCTCAGCATGAATGTCGATGATTCTGGAATAACGGGTCCACCCCAGAGCCAATCTCAGACACTTATTTTGCATACTCTCCCTAATTCATCCTCTTACGAGTGACTTTCAACCCCTGAAGCGGACTAAGCGACTTATGTAGGGAATGGGACAGCTATTATTATTAATTGCCGTGGCGGTGAGGAAATCCCGGAAAATCCCACCTACCTTCATCGGAAACGGTAACGCATGGCGATTTTTATAATCTGGATGTCTTATCAACAGAAATTTAATTTCTGCTAATACGTCATTCATCAAATCCCATAGAGAACCATGCAAATAAATTCACATGGTCTTCCGAAGGATTCGAAGCAGGTGTCTCTTTTACGACAAAATTGAATGCAAATGAATGCGGCGCCTACTGCTACGCTACCGTAGAATAATTTGAACTTTTGCATAGTGTGTGTTTGACATTGAACAGAAGACCGGACATCCATAAGTTAGAATGGAACTAATGACTAATGATTTATACAGTAACATTTTATTTTTCTTTGTTACTTTATACTCCTTCTTCTTAACGTAGGGTAGAGTATTCTTAACATTACATTAGCTTCTATCTTCTATCTATTATATGTTTTGCGAATATTGCCCCCCCCCTCATCTAGATATTTCCTCAATTATTTGACCGTTTAACTGGTTTCTAACGACGTAAAATTATAAAATCGACATGTTTAGGCGCATCGAAGAAAAAATGCAGCGTTTTTGCAAATTTTTATAAAGGAGAAGTGTGGAAGGCTCGTAAAAATAAAGTCACTCACAAAGTTTTAAACATGTGGTAACCAAGAAAAGCAGGGGTGGACGTACTGTGTACTAGTTCAGATGTTCTAAATTCTTTGCTTAAACTCCATTTTTATGTATTATATATTTTTTAATAAAGTTATTTTTTATTAGAAAACGTGACCATGTTGTACTACAAAATGTTTAAAGTTCTGACTTAAAAACTTATAAAGTTCATAAATTTTTTTACAAAACTTCTGTTTTTTATTTTAATATCTTTTTTTAGGTGGTTGGTATAGCTCGCAGAGTTAAACTCATCGAAGAACTCGCGACGCGCCTGACCAACGAAAAAGGAAAATTGTACGCTTTAAAATGCGACGTCATGAAAGAAGAAGATATATTGAGCGTTTTTAAATGGGTCCGCGAGCACTTATCTCCTGTTCACATAATAATTAACAACGCCGGTATAGTAGAAAATACAAATTTAATAGATGGAGATGTTAAAATGTGGAAGAACGTTCTAGATACCAACATTCTTGGATTGTGTATCGGAACTAGAGAAGCTGTTAGAGATATGGTTAAAAATAATGTTAATGGACACGTAATACACATGAATAGCGTTGGTGGGCACAGGGTTCCTTATTTTACTTTTAGTAATGTCTATCCAGGAACAAAACATGCTGTGACTGCTTTGGCTGAAACTTTGAGGAAAGAGTTCTCAGCAAATAAATTGGATATCAAAATTACAGTAAGTAACTTTTTTAAAAATGTTTATTTATGCCATGGAATACCTATTATAACTATAGTCATAAATCATTTAATAACTTACAAGTCGTGGTCAACAGAACGATTGAGTCATTAGACTGTTTAAAGACATTTAAAAATAAATGCATGTCGTTGTCTTGAAACTAACAATACACCTATCAAATAATGGAAGAAACCTGGAAGGTTTAGAACCTCAAAATAAATAAGAGAAGAGTTTCTAACTAAAGAACTTTACTTTCAATCAATATCGATAATAATGAAAGAGGAGACTTCTTGGTGTGGTAGCTAAAGACCGCAAACACATAGAAAATTGGATATACAGGACGCCCCAAAAACATACTGACAATTAAGGGGTCATAGGGAACATCCTCCTGAGTTGATAGGCATCTCCTAGCTCGTGGGCTAGCATACAGATTTAATGTAGTTGACAACGTCGCCAAGAGGTGCTTCTCTTATATCGCCGATACTCGCCGAACACATCTTCTAATAAATAAGAGCGTCGAGTAATCGTAAAGGATATGCTCGACGGTCTCATCTTCTTGTTCGCACCGTCTGTAGAATGCGGATTCTGACAGCCCCATGATCTGGAGATGCTTTCGAACTTGGCAATGACCAGTCAGAATGCCTGTGACTAGGCGCATATTCTGTCTAGTAATAATCAAGTATTTGTTTGCTGTAGTGTTGTCAGGATGACTAAAGAGCTCCCTGGCAATTCTGCAGTTTCTTGTTTCATCCCATCTTTCCTTGAATTTCACAAGGGAATGTTCTTTGATTAGGTCTGTCAATACCGATTTTGTCAGGCCAATAGCAGGGCTAGGTCCAAAAAGCATTTGGTTAGCTGCTTTATTGGCTAATGAATAAGCAAGATGTGGCGTGACCTTTGATCCATCTTAAGGTGACCACATTGTTGATGGATACTTTGGCCGAAGCTTCGTGACATTCTAGTACTAACCCTGAGTAAACTTGTGGTCTGTTCAGGGTGAATAGTGCTTGTCTGCTTTCTGTATAGATGAGCATGTTCCTTTCAGTGATATTGTTTCTGGTTATTTCTTCTGCTGCTATGAGAATCCCTGTTAGCTCTGTTTGAACTACACTGGCACTATTGTTCAGAGCCCATTTTATGTTTAGGTTTAAGAATCTGGAGTATATTCCAGATCCTGGGCCTTGTTTTGTTTTAGAACCGTCAGTGTAGATATGATTCATACCTGCCACTTCCGGCTCTTTTTTTTAATCATTTCAAATAACTAAATTAATCCTTAAGTTATAAAGCATTTCTTTAGTACAATAAATATTTCAAAGTTGCCAATTGTAGTACTATTTGTAGTACTATTTGTTCATTCAAAATTTGTGTTGAAAATAGATGATCAGTTCTCATTTCAAGAAATTACTGATAGACACCTTACTTATGGTGCAACCAATTGTAATGGAAAAGAAGCTGCACGCTTGTATGAATAAAAATATCTGGACCGCCTGCAACCTCATTTGGCAACCTTTGTTTCCATCGATCTATCGATACTATAGTATTTTGGTGGTGATCGTCCAAGAATTTCTCGTACAGTTGAATTTAAAGAAGGAGTTCTACACAGTGTGAAAGAAAATCAATTTACAAGTCTTCGCGCAATTGCACACCATATGGAATCCATCTAGTTGATGGTGCAGCATGTCCTGCGTGGACAACTCCTCCACCCCTACCATTTACAACGCGTACAAGATTTAAATTCTGAAGATTATTTACATCGATTAACTTTTTGCTAATGGTTTTTGGATCATAACCTAATAGACTCTCACTTCGGAAGAAGAGTATTGTTTACTGATGAGGCTTGTTTCACGCGTGATGGTTATTTAAATAGTAGGAACAGCCACATTTGGCTAGAAGACTCCTGAAATAATTTTTGGCTGGTATATCGTTAGTAAAAATCTGATAGTTAACTTGGTGCATGCTCATTTCTACGCAGACATTTATCTCTATTTTTGCAAATTGTTTTGCATCTATTAATAAAAAACCTGCCTGGTGGGGTACCTCTAGATTTTGGGTTGAACGATCGGCAGTATTTGAGTAGCTTATTTCCTCGCCTATGGATTGAAAGAGAAGGTCCCGTGGCCTGGCCCGCGCGTACTCCAGATCATAATCAGGAATATTCCATAGGGTCCACGAGTCATTGAACCGACGACGGTGACATTTGTGCATTGAAGCAAATAGTCAATATTTTGAACAATTATTGTAATTTTATTTTATTTAGTCCTGATGTTTTTATAAATTAATATTAATTATTATTTATCACTGAAATAAACAAAACATACCAAAACTATTTTTCTTTTTTCTGCTTAAACGGCTCATTTTCGGACATATATATTTTTTAAACAAAAACAGTTTTGATGTCTCCTATCGCCCCATCAAGTTTGTCGGTATGTTGTTGGGATAACCTGTATAGTCCAATTAAACTTATTTGACAAATCCCATAAGTTAATGGCACAAACGTGACTAATGGATTTCTCAAATGATCGATTCAATTAGGACTCTAGATTTGCTCAATTGGGCACAGTCTCAACGTTTCTGACATCATAAATTAAAATTCACTGATTGTTTAATTTATTTACAGAGTATTAGTCCAGGTATTGTCAAGACGGGAATTGGAAATAATTGCTACAATTTTGAGAAACAAGTATCAATATCACCAATGCTACATGTAGATGACGTAGTTGATGCTGTTATGTATGCACTTTCCACGGGTCCAAATGTATTGGTAAGTTTCTGAAAACAAGATAAAAGTTCAAGTGTACTAAAAATGTATCTATGTAATGGTGTATATTAAACTATATCTGATGGGCGCTTTAGATAATTCTTCGAGTTTCAAGTGCAATTCCTATTTCCATTTAAGGTTCCAGCAAGGCCTAGTATATGAATAGGGGTTTAGTCCTCTCTTCACATTTTCTACAAAGAAAATATGTAATTAGTAATGTCTCGGTCTTAAGTTCTTTCCTGCCAAGATTTACAAGTCCAGTCTTTCCTCTCTAGGATGGACCATCTATGAATATTTTGGACTGCCAGAATACAGGAAATTCTTACCAGAGCTTATGATATTTTCTATTTATCTGTTCCTTAGCACCACTTTAACATATTGATGTGAAACACCAAATGTGGGTTCTGGTCCAGTAAGAGTTTTCTTAGTTCCCTTCCTGGCCGGAAAGTTTGCTTTCTCTTTTCCAACAATTTCTCAAGTCCCGGCACGTATTCAACAATGATTTGATTATGTTCTGCCAAGGTCTCGTCCAATATTACTTTGATTAATACTTTTACTATTTGTAGTGATTTAAGGTATGCCTGCCTGTATTTATGTCATAATTAAGACTCTCTTAAATATAAGGGTCATTCAGCAAAATCTAAGTAGGTATAGGGCATTTACTGCTGTTACTTCAGCCTGGAGGACTACTGCCAGTGACTCCAGATTTAGACTTGCGGTCATTTAGCATGATCTGCATTGGGATTCTCATCTTTCAATTCGGCACGTGTTGAGACGACTATCTTCGTTCCACACAATGCGATTCGTATGTAATGTCTCTCTCTCTCTATTGAATTCGTTACATGTTGAGTACGCACGTAAGAATCCCTTTGCTGAATACAGGAATTTATTGCTATTACTTCATCCTAGAGGAATACTGCCAGTGGCCAGAGTTCACATGGTAAATTCCAGCTCTTGTGCTATCTTGTATCTTCTCTCGAGGGGTTTTATAAAATCATAAATAATATTAACCCATTCTATCCTTTAGTAAGTTTCTAAAAAAGAAAACAAGATGTTAATAGAATATGTGTTACTCAAAATTTGCTTATTCAACTTTTAACTTTTTTCAACAGCTTATAAAGATTTTGTTGTATTGATAGCTTAGAAATCTATTTCATAAACAGTGTAATCATTATGAACATTACTATAATGGCTCTATTCTTAAAAATGGTTAAATGAAAGTTAAACTGATTTTTTTGCACATATTACATATCCCATCTTTATCTAATTTTGTATTTGATTTTAATATGATACATTGTATTTTAGGTTGAAGAAATTATCATCAAACCTCTTCACGAACCTTTTTGATGAAACAATCTGAAAATATTCACATTGCCTACCTGATGAGTATTAATTATAATGTATTTAAGTGTTAAAAGGCAATAACAATGTTAATTGTATTTTAGTAACAGTTTTCTATAATATACAGATACGAAATGCGTAATGAAATAAATTATAAAATATTTTTCATTTTGTATTTAAATTTTAAAGCAGAGTGTAGGCAACACTTATTTCATTTTTAAAATCAAATGTTGTAAAGGTTGCATAAATATAGGTAAAGAAATAAAATTTTAAATGTATTCGTGGAGAATGTTTAATAAACTACTTTGAATTTAAATGGATTAATTAAAAAAACTATCAGATTCGTGGATAATTTCGCTTGCTACATACTTTTTCTACACCCGTATTATAATAATGCACTTATATGCCCATAATCCGTTTCATAATGATACCCATTATGATACAGATTTTTCATTACGATACAGATTTTTAATCAATAGAAACCTACAATTTTTCAATCAAGCATGCTGTTTGACGTTTGTCCTAGGTTTCTATGTAATTATTTTAGTTGTCAAAACGTATTAAATTTTCGTAGGTAGCTAAACTTCGATAATTATAATATTAAAATGTCTGATATTAGCGATATAGAAGACTCCTCCACACATATCGGAGAAAGCAGAAAATACAGTACAAAATATTTTACCGCAAAAATCTAGGGAAATACCAATACCTGAAGTAATACCATTAATTACAATTTTGTAGAATTTTTTATAGAAATACGAGTAATTACTGTTATTGTGTTCAATACCAATATAAATATAATATTTATAGGTCTTGATTATTTATCGGGTGTAGAAAAAATAGCGTATGCAACTCTCATGTAATGGTTATTAAAACACTCGCATATCCATACGAAACTCGCCTTTGGCTCGTTTCGTATCCCGGTTAATGCTCGTGTATTAATAACCATCATTACATGATCGTTGCATAATATACTATTTTTAATTGAGAAAATATTGTTTGTGGATAATTATAAGTAAATAAGGGGTTTTGATTCTACCGTTGTATTAAATGAGACTTAAATAAACTCCGTTTAGTTGATCTAACATACAAGTAGTTCAAATGTATACCTATGTTGAATAAGCACTTAAAAATTTGAAGTCGTTTGTCAGTGTGTTAATATAATTTACATAATGGATTCGGATGAAGACAAGATTTTAGAAAATTATATTAAATAATTGAGTTTGGTTTCCCAACAAGAACTTTAATCAGACATTTTTAAACGATTTCGTTTAAAAAAAAAAAATAGTTTTAGGAGTTTTTAAATTGATAGAAGTTGATTTTGGGTTTTCTCATGACTTTTTTTCATAGTCTTACAAGAGAACTTGCTTTTATTATTAGTTTAAAGTGAAGTTGCATTAAATTTTAATAATTTGCATAATTTGTCAGTTCAAGAGGAATATTATCAAATTCCATATAAGAATCATTATATTTACCAATTTTTGAATTTATATATTCAGGCAAATTTAAACTAAATACTACTTCGTTGCGTAGATCTGTCAGTCATGAAATACGTGACTATCTACGATGCGGGCGTGGTATTCACAGTCATTGGCCAGTAGATATTACATATTGAATATTCTGTCTCTAGAGTTAGAATTAAATAAGTGTAAAATAAATAAGTGGCAAGTGTTTCAGAATTGTCTTTCAATCTCAAGAGCCAGAATGTTTTTTTTTTGTTATTACAAGTGATTTTGGAAGCCTAACATTTAATAGTGGGCATGGAGAAAAAATATTAACTGCTGCCAAAAGGTATAACAAAGATAGGTGAAGTTACTTTTGATTTTGACAGCCTTTTGCATATGCGTAATAATACTTACTAATACGTTTCAGAGTGCATCCGTATTTGGTGAGCGTCTTTCTCTCTAAAAATTACACATCCAATTTTGAAATTTTGACATATTTATAGCTCAAACAGTTGCCTAAATATTTAATTTCAAGGTTATTGAATTTTCGTTCGACAGGCAGCGATTCTTATGTAATGTCTCTATTAGGCATTTCAACGACCTGTCAAAATGCTGCCAGTGGGAACACAAAATTTTAAGTTTTTTCTCTAAAGTCGTTTTTTGGCTATCGCGCCAAAATACAGACGCCAGACGACAACAGACGACGACAGACAGACAGTATGACGGAATGGGAAAACGTGTTTTTCGTAATCTAGGGACCCAGTATCGTAAAAATTTTAAATAACCTCGGAGAGTGACTTTTTCACGATTTCTTATCGATGAAAGTAAAAGAAAATTGTAAACGTTCTGTTAGTTTTTAAATTTTAAAATTTATATCAATCCTTTTAGTGTGAAGATTTGCGAAAACATTTATTACATTTTTTCAAATGAAGGGGGCGAACGCGATTACGATACTCGCATTCGCGTATTAATACTGTCGCGCAAAAGCCAACCCTGTGCATTGTTTACTCCTTGCCCGCGGTATGAAGTCTAACGCTGGCAATATAGAGACAAACGCACCACTTCTCGCAACTACCAGGAAAAGCGGTACGTGGCCGAGTCATAGAGATGGAATTCTTAAACATTCAACATCGTCTAGGAACAACTAGTACAGAGTGAGTTGGGCTTTATATAAATAGCGCAAGTTGTCGACGGACAAGAAGATTGAATTTAAGTGTCGGACAGAAAAGGTACATTGTAATAAATAAATTAGAATTGTGAGTTATAATAGTGCCTGTATTATATAAATTAATTAGTACTTTATAAATAAATTGTAAATATAGCTTTTTAAATAAATAAATTAAACAAACAAACAAACAAACATCACCCATCAGCGAAAACAGCGGAGTGGAAACGAGAAATCGCCGGAATGGTCGCTGACCTCAACTTGATCCATCAGGCGTTCAAGATGTAATAAGAGACATCGCATCTCGCATCATCATAGCCCAGTAAATATGGAATTTCAACTATAAATCTTAGTATATCACTTATTCCGTAAACTTTATCATTGCTTTCATCTTGTTTATATGATAGCATAACATATTTATTGGTAGTTTTGATTTGTATTTTACAGCCACGCCGTCACATTTATTGGACTAATCTATCTGGTATTATTGAATGATATATTTTACTGGCCATAACTTTAAATGGCCTTTTTTTTTCACATAGGAATGCCAAGGGTTTTTTTTTTATTTAATGGCCCGGTAAGATTTTTAAAATTTGTTTCATACTGTAGATTAATTTTGATTGAAATGAGTGCTCCATTGGGAAAAAGGAGTGTTTTATCCGAATGCTTTGCATTTTCAGCACACCTAGAACTCTTCTAAGCTGTCAGTTGTCTAAATAAATTATTTTTAAATTACCTTTCCCTATCATCATCTCAATCCCTCGCCAGTGTAAGTACCCTCAAATAACAGAGGGAGTTCGGTTTATGTCCGAGCCCGACAGGGCAAGTACAGCACCTTTTGAAGGTTTTGAGACTCTTTACTTTAAAAGGATCAAGAACAGATGCCGGCTTAACACCAACCAATTCCTGAAACTAGAAAACGTCCATTCTCCTCAGAAATTCAAGGCGAAAAAGAAGCTACAACCTCAAACTGTGAGTAAAGATAAGTTTTCTCAAATTTCCACTAACCCAGAGGTCATTGTCCGGGACCAGGAGGGTTCCCCTATCAAAATTTCTGAAGTTTGCCCTTCAAATGACCGTGAACACAGGACGGTTTGAAGAGGACACAACCATGAATACTACCCCTGAGGACGGGGATACAGCTTCAAGGAAGCAGTCTGTCACAGGTTCTGACGACAACAGTTTCTACGACAGCCACAAAAATCCTACCGGCAGCCCAGTCGATGAAATACAGGATAAATACTACTATAAACTCCTCAAATAACTCACAGAAGTCAATGGATACAGGACTAGAGAACACTGTAGTCGAAAACAAAGAGACAGGGGAATCCACAAAAACAGACGAGTATATGTCAGACTACCAGCGTGAATCTACTCCAAAGCCTCTGGTCCAATATAAAACTCTACATCTTCCCGCAAATGTAAACACCACACAAGTAATTCCAACTGGACCTGTGGGAATTGTACAAAAACGGGGTGAATTGAGAAGCTCTGTGCCTGTACAATCCCCCACACCTCCAGCCTCCCTAAATAACCCCACAGCTACCCCAAATGCTCCCTCCACCTACACAGGAGCGATAAGGAGGATAAACAGCGACCACCGAATAAAAATTACAGTCAATACCAGGGATATTCCTAAGAGTATCGAAAGTAACATACTAAATTACGACTCCAATAGCGTTACCTCAGAAGAGGAACCTAAAGTAAAAGAGGCCCAAAAAAAGGTTCGATAATCTTCCCCACTCTCCAAACAGCCTTTTCGAAATTTGAAATGCTGCAGAGAGAGCCCGATACATGGAAGAAAGAAAAGCCGAAGACGAGAGAAACAAGAACCAGGATGAACCGTTTATAATGCCTAGAAAATTCAGCACTAAAATTCAAGAATTAGAGAAAAATCTATTAAAACGCTTACGCAAACCAGCAACACTTATCAAGTGCTAACTGACGAATCCGAATCTGATATCGACGATGATATAGGTAAGATCGTCAAAAAAAGAAAGAAGAAAGGTCCCAAATTCAGACCATACACGGAAGACGAAACGCCCATTGATACAACGGTCATGGCATCCGACAAAAACCTCATGAAAAACAACACAAAAGAACTCCCACTACCAATACAATTAAATCAACAAACAACTCATCCAAGCAAAAATATACAATTATGCCTATCGTTGTAGATGGTAAGACTGCCAACCACATTTGTCAGAGGAGAATTTAGTGTAAAACACACTAATTACACTACAATTCTCTTCGTTGACAAAAAAGATGATTACGACAGAGTGCTGACCAACATTAAAGCTGATAAAATTGCATATCATACATATACTGCCAACATCGATAAGTCTCATGCATTTGTGCTCAGAGGCTTAGCGGAGGGCATAAAGATCTGAACAAGAACACCAGAAGAGTTCTTTATACAAGAGTCACTTGGGAGCTCAGGAAATCAATAAAACAAATAATCCAGTGTCACAACTGCCAGCAGTGGGGACACGCCAGGGCCAACTGTGGAAAAGCAGCTAAATGTGTGAA